GGCACTTTACCCAGGGGGATAGCTTGAGGCTCTGTCTCAAAAAAAAAAGTTTGAGGACCCCTGCTCTAGAGAGCACAGCGGCTGGCCTCATAGCTCAGAAGCTTAGGGCTGCTGGAAGAAGAACGTTCATTGCAAAAGTAAAAGATTCACCTAGGCCAGGACTCATAAACTTAAGTGCCTACAGGGAGCTTCCAGGGAAACCCCTGTAGGCAAAAAGACAAGACCAGGCAGGAACCATTGCAAACTGGAGAGCAAGAGCCCCATCCTGAGCAGAGAGTAAATCCTCAGCTGAGGCCTCAGAAGGACCTGGGCCCAACATCTAAGCAGAGGCTGGATATGCAGATTTGTCTGTGGCAACTAAGCCAGATTTCATTTATTTATTTATATTTATTTCTTAGAGACAGGGTCTTGCTCTGCTGCCCAGGCTGGAATGCAGGGCAGGTTATAGCTCAGCCTTAGACTTAAGGGCTCAAATGATCCTCCCTCTTCATCCTCCCAAGTAGCTGGGACTACACATGTGTAACACCATGCCTGGCTAATTAATTTCTTAAAATTTTTTGTAGAGACAGGGCCTTGCTATGTTGCCCAGGTTGGTTATATACTTCTGGGCTCAAGTGATTCTCCAACTTGGTTCTCCAAAGTGCTGGAATTACAGGTGTGAGCCACCATGCCTGTCCTCACATTGTAAATAAACACTGTGGGCCTCTGCTTTGCCTCCTGTGATCAAGACAGTAACTTCATGCCAACCTGCAGAAGCAAGAGCCCTGTGGGGGGAGATAGGGCTTAAAGTTTGTTTGGGGGCGGGAGCTGGGGACATCCTCTTATATAAAGACATACAGCCTGGTTTAAGTGAAAGATGTGTCCTAGGCATATACAGGGTTGTGTATATACATGTGAAGTAAAGCACAATGTTATTATTTGTAGTCATTATTTTCTCATCTCCCTCTCCCTTCCTCCTAGAAATGGAGGAGAAAAGGATCTTTCATCCAGCATTCAGTCAGTGGCCTCTGCCTGGAGACGAAGCCTGCCCAGCTGGTGACCAGCAAATGTCAGGCTGATGCCCAGGCCCAGCAGTGGCAGCTGCTGCCACACACATGACGGTAGCCCTGGGGCCTCCTGTACATTTTGCATGAGACTTTGGGACTGGAAGGGTGGGGGAGAGCAGAGTAGGCCATTTCCATCCCCTCACATTTCTGCCAGTATTATCAGCAAACGCCTCACCACCACACACGTTTCTCCAAAGCTTGTTTGAGGAGGGTGCAGGGGGCATGCCTCGATACCCTCTGTACCATCTCAGCCTTGCACGGGGAGAGGAGATGGTCAGGGTGCTGGACTGTTGCTGGGCAGAAACTGGCAGGTGCCCCTGGCCCTTTGTCCTCTCCCTCGATGCTTCTTGGTGCCCAGACTGGTGTGTGGGCCCTCCCCTTGTTGCCTGAGGAGGACAAGACAGCAGCTCACTCAAAGAGTCCAGAGGCCTGCCTGTGGAACAGGCATGAGAGGAGAAAGTGGGCAATGTGGATGGAGAGGCCTAAAGCTGGGAACAGAAGGAAGGAGAGGAGAGGGGCCGGTGAGGGCAGGCAGGAGGGGACCTGTCAGAGAGCCAGACCCAGGGAATGCTGGGTGGGGTATGGGAGGGATGAGAGCTTGGGGGCAGAGCATGGATATTTTGTAAGAAAACATGGGTGGGAGAGCAGAAAGCATCAGAAGACCAGGTCTCGTAGCCAGGATGTTATCCTGCCATGCTTCTCCAACCCCAGGGTACTCACATCCTTAGCAAGAGGCTGCAGAGGGACCATTAGCGGAAGACTTGTGGAGCACAGTTATTAAACAGACTCCATACTTTTCTGGCCCAATGTTTGATTGAGAACTCAGTCTTGGGCCTTAATGCCCAGTCCCTCTCCCTCACCACCGGGGCCCAATGGGAGGATGCACAGCCCATTCCTCCTTTGTAATTTTCAATTCTTGTTTTCTCAAAGATCTCTGCCAATCCAGCATCACGGGTCAGAGTGTCTGGGAGGAATGGGACCTCCTTTCTGGAGCATGAACTAAGTCATCAGGGGCTAAACTACTAAGGCTAAACCTCATCCTCATTCCACTCCCTGTGATGGGAGGGATTATCTCAAAGGCTCAGCTACTGCACTGTCCTGGGAGGCTGGCTGGTGGCTGCTGTTTGTGTAGATAACCTTTAGATCCTTCTCACAGCCCCTGAGAACTACCACATCTATCCCATGGCCTTGTCTTGCCACCTCTGCTGTTCCCTTGCCCTTTCCCCTCATCCCACTAGCTCAGGCAGTGTGGGCAAAAGACTATTGGAACCAGGATCCCTGGGGGTCTCCTTCCCAAAGCAAACCGGTTTGGGGTGGACACATCTACCCTAGAAGCCCCTAGTCTTTCATAGACTTGTAATCCACATACCCGTAGGGAGTTTATGGATTCCAGAGGGTCTAGGAATTTCCAGAAATTGTCTCCCAAATATTGCATATATGGGCATATATGCATTTTCCTGGGGAGAGAGTTCATGGGTTTCCCCAGGTTCTTAAAGAGGTCCCTGATCCCCAAAGGGTCAGAACCTCTGCTCTGGATTGGAGTCACTGTCCATCTGACCTGCCTTCTGACTCGTCATCTGACTCAGTCTCCCTCCCTGGTGTGCCCAAACTGCAATGGCCTACTCCCTCTACATGGCCCACTCCCTCTACATGACCCGTGGGTCAGAAGCCAAGTGTCCATGCTCTGAGGTAGCCACTCTGGAGGGTTCGCCAGCAATTTCCTCTCACCTCCTGACTCTCACCAGCGTCCTCTGGGCAATGCTCAACCACATGCCCCCTGGACTCACTGGCGCAGGCAGGCTCTTTGCCCCCATGGCCACACTGCTCCAGGCCTCTGTTGTGATGTTTCATCAATGTCATCTGTGGGCCTCGGATCCCCTGTTCAACCAGGAGGCCTCCTGCCACAGCTTAGGACAGAATTGGGACAAGGGCAAAGGCATCTCCCTAGAAGATGGACTAAAAGGCCTGGGCCATGCTCGTGTGTGGACCTACAGCAATGGGGAACGCGGGCTGCTTTTCTTAAATGTAAGAGGACCACTGCTCAGGGGGCCTTTGAGAGTGTCTCACTCTACACCAGGCCCTGCACTGGTCAGCTGTCCTTTGTGGTGATTCAGCCCTATTCTGGTTTTGCTTTTCCTCTTCTTGACCAAAGCATGTGCCACTACCTGTCCTTGAGGACCTTGTCTTTATGAAACACACACCTGGAATAAAACCACTTCTTACATGTTCACTAGTGCCTTCCTTCCGACTCCAGCCCACGCCCTTCAGTGCCACGCTCCCTGCTGTAGGAGTGAAACTGAGCATGCCCCTGAGAGCTTGTTCCTCAGCTTCCATGGGCTGCCCTGGGGGCAGCCAGCAGGTGACTCTACTGCTGGCCAAGCCTAGGACCAGAACCCAGGACCCAACTCCAGCCAGGCTGAGTCCATGTTCCAATTGCCTCATTATAGGACACTACTTGGAGCTTGGAAATGGAAATCAAAGGGGTTCCCCGAATGGCTGTGGCCTGCCCCCCAGCCCCATGTTTACCTTCTTTTTCTGGGAGCCAGCCCCGTGCCCTCAGAGCTTCCCTTCCCTGCCTCTACCACACAAGAAGACAGTGAGAAAAATTCAGGCAGGACACTTTTCCTGGGTGAAAACAACAAAATAATTACAACAAGAATCTTACTAGCCTTGCTTGATTGGGTAGCAGATGCTCTGTCTAATGTTTCCATGGAAACCAATGGAAAACCTTCATCATTTCTATGACCAGAAACCCAGGTAAAAATAAACGCTGCTTCAACGCACATATGAACTGCAGTCAGCAGGCCAGTGCATCGCTGACTTCTGTACGCAGCCATTTCTGCCCTAACCCCTACCTCCTTTGGCCTGCCAATCTGGGATTCCCCAGAATTTCTGATCCCTAGGCCTGCAGGGCTGGAGCCAAGCCCAAGATGGCTGCAAGGCACATGACTTGGCAATGCTATTGAGCTTTGGCCTTCGAGGCAAGTCATTGCAGAAGACTCTGGCAGCAGTCTCCATCCCCCCTTCCATCCCTCTGTCCTCCCAGGGAGCACAGCCCCCTGCCCACTGCCTCCTCTGGTCCCTCCTGGCCAGGGTGGGCCCCCTTTCCATTTTCCATCTATTTTCACTCCTGGCCTGAGAGTTCTGGTGCTGGCTTCCGAATCTGGCTTTCTTATTCTCTTCCAAACCTACTCCTCGCAGGCCCATTTTCTCTCCCACCCGCCTTCTTCCAGGGAGCTTTAGCTGCCAGACTTTAGCCAGTCCCCAAGGAATCAGCAAGCGCCCTCGAGCAGGCCATTAGCAGTAGGCCTTACAAGACTGGCAGGAGAGTCCCTGGCACCCAGGGCGGGGTGGGAGGAGGGCCCTCTGCATTGGGTCAGCCGCTGTTCTTCGGCAGGGAGCAGTCCTTGGATCCCTGGGCCTCTATGACTTGGCTCTTCCCCCGGCCCCTCAGGGGGGCTTTCTCCATTCACAGTTGAGAAGAATAACCTGGACAATACCACTGTTTCCAAGGGCTCTGGCACCCCAGGCCTGTGCTGGGTAGGGTGTGGGAGGGCCAAGGCCCATGGGGAATGTTTTCCAGCTCCGGATGGGGTGTGGTCCTTTCTCACCAGGGAATGGGAAAGGAAACCTGAAAGGGAGAGGCCTGAGTTCAGTGTACACAGTTTCATTCCCAACAATGTTCTCAATGTGTTTGGTATTTGTGTGTCTCCTGTGATGATCTGAGTCAGTTTTCCTCCAGAAGGGAGAGGGATTAGGCAGCTTCTCTCATGATAAAAGGTCTTCACTGCCAGGCACTTAGGAAAGACCCGGAGATAGAGCAGGGGACAGGCTACTCTTTCCTGCCTGACAGCTGGGCTGTCTGAGTACTGAGCTTGACTGAGGCTCTAAAGCCATCTGAGGATGGCCCTCTCCTACTGAATTCAACCCCATGAGGCACAAGGAAGAGTGTACTAGTGGACTCTAAAGACCTATCCCCACCCTTCCATTTACTAGCCATGTGATCTTGAGTCTCTCCCCGTGTGGGTGGGCTGTAGGTCCCACAGCCCTGTTGGGCAGCTACAGAGCTCCAGGTTCCTGGCCCAGAACTTGCTTCCTAGGTAGGGATTGTCTATCCTATCCTAAGCCTTGGTCTCTTTGGAGGTGGAAGAGTAGGGGTTTGTTATGGCTAAATCAGGCTGTAGCAGGTTGTGGGGTGGCTTGTGTGGCAACAGAGTGACACCAGGGGCTGTCTCCTGGCTGTGCAGTGACCTTGGTTCAGCGATCAGGTGGGGCTTGGAACTGATCTCTTTCACTCTGTCAGATGCTGTGAAGGTGAACAGGCTCTGGAAGCAGCTAGAGCCCCTGGGGGCTGCCCTCAAAGGCCGGGCAGACTTTCATGTCTGTGCGTCATTATCATGTTCATCATCAAGCCCTCAATGGTGTGCTGAACACTTAACTATGGAAGACATGGAATGATCTTGGAGAAGCCCTGTGAATCACTGATGGTCAAGGCTGTCTTGCCCCTGACACTAGCCAGCCAGGCCAACCTCACCTCTTACCCTCTTCCCTACACTGCCATCAGCAGAATGACCTGGGTCCTACTTAAAGTTGCTTTCTGCTTTCTCTTGTTTGTGCTTTTGTGCTTCCTTGTGCCACCACCTTGCTATCTCTGTGGGCTGAATGCTAACCAGTTTCCCAGACAAATGCAGCTTCCAAGGGGAACGCTTCCTGATCTTCCGTCTATCTGAGAAGAATCTCTGAAGCTTGCCTCTTCAGAGCTCTGAGTGTTCCTCCCAGCCTTAGCCACCATCCTCCTCCATGTGCTGTGACGTGCACCTGTTGTCTCTAGTCTTGTCTCATCTTTTCTGTTAGACTGTGGCTCCTTGCTGACAAGAACCAGGCCTCCTTCACACCTCCCACGGCCACAGCTCAGAGCTTGCTTCTCAGCCTTATGGTAAATGTGTGCTTGCTGAATGAATGAGTTAAAGATAAAGCACTTGGTTTGTCTTCATTTTGTTTTGTGTTTAATGATAAAGCATTCTTGCATGCAGGAATTAGTACATTGCATACAGAAAGCACTGTGTATGTGTTTGTTCACTTTCCCCTCACTTCCTGAAAGCGTGGGATCTTTACAGCCCATCTTCCTACTTATTAGTTGTTTCTAAGTTCTCAACAACAATGCATTGGCAATGCTGAGGGTTGACAGAGATGGAACACTTTCTGCATACCCTGAATCTTGATAAGGCTATCATATACACCCTGATGAGGCTGGTCCTGGTATGCTTACCTTATGGATGAGTGGAGGCTTAGTCAGGAGAAACTTCCACAAAGATAAATATCTAGATTTAAACAGTCCCCCAGGAGTATGTGTCAGTGGTTCTCAAACTGTGGTCCCACACACCACTGTCTTGAGCACTACCAGGGAAGTATTAGAAATGCCAGCTCTTGGGACCCACTTGGACCTACTGAGTCAGAAACTCTGCAGGTGGGGTCAGCCAGGGAGATTCTGATGCTTGCTCAAATTTGAGAGCCACTGTTTTGGTGACTGGGGTTCTGGTCCCCTGACTGGGGCCACAGGTCACAACCCAGTGCAGAAGGCTCAGAGAACTGTGTGCTGCAAGCCTGGTGTTTGCTCAGCAGACCGCCTGCCACAGAGCTCTGGGCAGTGATGGACCCTCTGGTGCAGAGGGCGGGTATAAGCCAGGCTGGGCCGAGGGTTGCTGCTGAGCCAGCTGCCACATGCCAACCTTGCTTTGCATGATTTATGAGTTTCTTCCCCAACACCAACTACATATGGCTGACTTCATTCTAAAAGCGCTTCTACCCTGAAAGATCCATTAATCAAAGAATCAGTGCTGTACTGCCTGGCCTACAGGATGGGCGTACATGTTACCGTGAGTTACATAGCTAAGTCCTTTCTATGGATCCCCCATCCAATGACATTCATAGCCAGTCCTATCCCTCTGATCAAACACTGACATTTGAACTTTAATCCTCACAACAACTCTATCAGGTAGATATTTTCAGCATTACCCCACTTATAAACTGGGAAATAGAAGTCCAGAGATGTTAACACCCTTGCAATTATCCAGTTAACAGGAGGTAAAGCCAGCATTTGAAATCAGGAAGTCTAATTCAGGGGCCATGTTCTTCCCTGCCCATTAATTGCCTTTCCCAAACTGGTTTGTATTCACATAACTTGGAGACTAAACTTCTCTCAGGCTCACTCTAAAACCCAGCACTTGTCCCCACATCCCACATCCCTGCATAGCTAATGTTTAGAGCACTGAGAGGTGGGGAAGGCCAGGGTTGACTCTACTAGTTAACAGAGGCTGAAACTCCTAAAGTCACAGATCAGGAAACCGGGAGCACAGAAAGCAACGGACCCAAGAACATGATGTTCCATGGCACGCGACACCAGTGCTGATTGTCTCTCAGGTGTCAGCTATCTTCCCTAGAGCTCAGGAGGGTGGGACCTCCAAAAGATCTGGCCCCGAGGGCCGAGGGCTGGTTGGCTGCAGGACCTGCTTTCTCTGCAGACCCATCTCTGGCTGGGACTGTTTTTTCCAAATGTCCCCGTGGCAATAAAGTGCTGTGCTCAGCATTACTTCCCCTGAGACATCAGTTTGGTGCTTGTTCAGATCTGTGTGTACCCTACCTCATGGCCTTGTCTACCTTGGTGGGGACATGAGGATGCTTCGTAGGGTACCCACGGTTTTCACCAGGTGCCTGGATCTCTGCATGCTGACCAAGCAGTCAGGCTTATTTTTAATTTATTGTCACCAAATGTGTCCATCCCAGTTATGTCTTGACTGCTTTACTGTGTGACAGCAGGGGTGGAGAGTTGAGAATTCTAGCTGTACAGTAAGACAATTGTTTCAGTTCTGGCTCAGCCACTTGTGAGCCAGGAGACCTTCAGCCAGCCACTTAGGTGTCCTGAACCTCAATGTTCTCAGCTGAAAAATGGGTGTGATGGGGGGGGAAGATGAACTAGAAAATGCCTGTGGTCAGGCCCTATATACTGAAAAACAGGTGCTGCAGTCTGGGAAGCACTCAGGAATATTTCTCTGGGCATGGAGTGGGCCATAGCTACTGGACCCCAAAGCTGTGGATTTTCCAGCTGGTTGGCACCTTCTCCAGTTGTCAGAGCAAGATGGAGGCCCAAGGGAGTGGGGAGTCAACCAGGGAAAGAAGAGGTGGGGAGTCTAGGCACCCACTTTGCTCCTGAGGTGGAGATTGCTGGTCT